CTTAAAAATCCATGATACAAACTGAGATCAGCTAAACTTTTTCGAGTCAAATATTTTGAAATGAGAGTTCAGTAGTTGTTCTGTGTGTCTACAGCTCCGGCGGATGCAATCGGCACTTACTGATCCTTTGAAATTCAGGCCAGATTTTAATCTGAATCTCTTCCCTTTAGGGTATTTCGCTTTGTGGATAGGCATACGGCAACCACTCGGCTCGAAACCACGAGGACGCTGGAGCGAAAACACTAGGATCATAAAATGTGCTAAAAATCTGTCCGAAGAGGTAGTTTCAACTCCTCCCCCCCACTTGAAGAAAAACGTTAAACGCCACAAGTATCTGGTACATGCGCTACAGTCAGCGATTCTCAAACTGGTTTGTGACGTCGACGCTTGTGGCGCGAGCGCCTGGCGTTTTCGCTTTAAAGGCAGTTGGCACGATAAATCCCCCAAGAAGAGTAGGATCAATACGCTTGGCGGGACGGAATTCCGCGATCCTGAGCAGGCGCTGCATAGCGACTCCACCAAGGAAGTGCCCTTATAAGGGCCCTATCAAGCCACAACATTCCGACCCAAACGCCCGCCCGCCCACAAATGGACGACCGTTCCTGACGCTCGTATTCATTCATTTGCTAAGCAAATTATGAAGCGAAGGGATTGGTATGAAGCGGCCGTGATGCTGCATGCATACATGGGTACACATATGCAGCCGTATCTTCGGTAGCGGTGTAGAAAACCATCGTGCCAACTGCCTTTAAGCGGATGGGATCCGTGTTCATGGCGTCACCACGTCTACTGAGCAGGCTCGTCATCTTGTCTCTCAAGCCCCTAATCCCGTGGAGAATTGTAGCAACAGCGAAGAGAATTCCAACTAAGTGGTTCACTTAATCCACCAAATAGGAGTCGGATAAACCACTGTATCCAACCTTCCACCTCCGTTTTCAGTGAATACATGGGATTATATGACATGGCAGCTCTCTCAGCGTCTCAGAACATCTGTCGACTACAAAACCTCTCCTTTCTTCTATTTTCATCCCCCTTTCGTCTTTCTTTCATTCCTCTTCTTCTTCAACTGCTGAACCAGAACATGCGACGCGAAAATGGCTCTGGGACTCTTCCAGCAGATGAACATCTAGTTGAGATGTGCACTGTGGCCCTCCATTCCATACCCCTTTAGACAGAGTGTGCCATACCTTTGCTAAAAATTATTCAAAAAAAACTTACCGGCCCAACGTATCTGTCCATCTTCGCTATATCCATTGTAGCGGACTCGACCCTCAAATGATGAAATTCGTATAGCAAATGAAAACGATCACAGCTGAAGCTAAATTGGTGGTAATCCTTGAGTATTACAACCCAACACTACAACAAATCATTCCAACCCAGGAACCAGTCGTTTATTCCAATCTAAGTTGCAAGAAGACCAGTAAAAGACAGCAAATCATTGTTGTAATGGCCACTAGGAGAAACGCGAAGTCATCAAAATTTACAAAAACACTTCTCAAAATCACAAAAAATATGCACATCTGTACAAAATCTCATTGGGATTCATTCGATGCAGACTACTAAGACAACACCGGAAGTAGAAATAGCCAGACGAATGAGGAGCTAGCCGAAGCAAAACTGTCCACTCAAAAATGGGTCAGCTTTCGGTCAGCGTTGTTGCTTAGAAAAAGACAGGAGAACTCTAGAAAAGGACACATTTCATACGTAAGATTAGAGATGCCATCGTCGGTATAGGATAAAACGGACAGGTAAAACCAGCGAAGAGCTGAAATAGCTCTCGCATCCAATGAGTAGCAAGTACGTCAACCAAATGACTTATAAAACGACAGAGCTGATCCAAGAGGTTCTCAAGAGGAGAGAAGAAGAAGGTCAAGCATGATAGCTGCATGCATTTGCTCAGAATTCTCTGTCAGGGAACAATGCAGGAGCAAGCAGAGTCCATGCGTACAGTGCAACACAGAGCCATGACGAAACGATCTTCACCCACACAGACGCCATGTTGCTGTTCAGATGAGTCAAATCATTACCAGGACTGAAACAACAAAATAAGATCAACTTGCCAACATGGGATCATTTATAAGTAATGAACTGAATAAATGGATTTCATGGTCTGTAACCTTGGGCAGTTAAAGGACTCCCTGTGAAAGCTTTGAACCCCACAATGATAATGAGAAAACAGGGGTTTCCACAACGGTAAATAACAACTTTGCCGAAGCCTAAAGAATGAAGAGCTTCCGAACTGGTTAACTTACTCAGAGTACGACCCCATTTGGACGAGCTTAGTCATACTTCCGCACAAAAAGCCCTTCAAACCGTCCCTCTCCCCCTCAACCATCCAAAGAAATAAAATTATAAGCTTAGGATGACAGGCGCTGTACAGTATCCAGAACTGCGCGTAAAACTAAGTGCCTAGGACCAAGCTGAAGTTTCCGCCTCGGCAGCACCTGGCTTGCTCTATGTGAGAAGCGAAACTACCGTCGCTCTCGCTTCCTGGCCTCACCTCGGAGCGTTCTTCCCCCAAATTCACGCGCAATTTTCGGGGATATTCTATACCACCTGTCTTCCTGAACTTGTAGGCTTGTGTCCCCAAAATCATGACTCCCTAGATTTCAATCAGATATACAGTCAAAAACTCACTTGTACCAGCTAGTTAGGGTCATCATCACGTACAAAGACGCCAATCCAAACATGAAGTGGAAGAACGAGTAGGAATACGCCACGCCTTCAGTTTCATTGTCCCACACACGTCGAGAGGCAGTAGCGGAGTTAGACTCCTCGTCATCTGAAAGCAAAAAGATTCCGATTCGCGCCTCGCTAAAGACATCCCCATAAAGCTGGCATAAAACAGGCGACAGAGTGAAGTGACAGAGACATCTCATACAGCTTTGTGCTGCTTGCCTGGACGCTCGCGAACATCAATTGGGGTGGAAAAGGGGGGGGGGAGGCGACACATGCGAGCCAAAACTCAGGTGAAAATCAGGTCGTCTGCGATGGCAACTTGCCGATTTTCCAGACATATATGTAACAATTTCTTTCCGAGGTTTTATGAATCTACTTGAGCAGAGTCGAGGGAATCGATTCATATCTAATCATTGCGGAAATTCGACTGCGCGCACTGTGAACGCGGTCGCCACAAAACCGCAACGAATTCGCTTTCGACCAAAAAATGGCTCGGTAGCAAGCTAAGGCTGTGCTCATTG